CCGAATGAGCCGCCCCACCCACCCCCAAGGCTGGAGCCGCTGCGTCCCGCTGTCCCTCCCCAGGCCTTGGCTATGACGATCCCCCAAAGAGCCTGTCTGCATCCCAGACCCAGGGACTCGGGCCTCCAGCTCCTGGGGTCCCGGAGCCCACCCAGCACCCCCAGGATCCCGTGTACGGCTCCCCTGCACCTCCTGGCGGCCCGGAAGGTCCGTCCCCTGCCCCCCTCGGTGTCCACGTCTTGAGCTTAATAAATGTGCATTTGGTTTTCCCCCGTTCTATCCGTGTGTTCTCATCTGTGGGCGCACGGGGTGTGGGGGGGGTGGCTGCAGGACTGAGCCTGGGGTGGCTGTCCCCTGCGTGCCTACACGTGTCCCCCTCCTTCTCCTCCTCCCCTCTGTCACACGCTCCCCGCCACACCTCCGGCAGGACCTTCCCTTCTTCCTCATCCTTGTCCCCGGTCTCCATCCCCCGCCCCCCCCCCCGAGGCCGGTGGGTGGAGGCCCCCGGCCTCCCCCCTCCTGCTCTCACCCCGCCAGGAAACCCGAGAGGAAATGACTGGGCCGCCTGGGTCCCCGCCCGCGCGCTCTCCTGGCCACACCCTCCGCCCGGACACCGCGCGCGGCCGCGGTCCTCTGCCCCGGGGCTGCCAGCTCGCGACCCCCGGCTCTGCCGTAAGTCCGCGCGGTCCCCATCTCCGCCCGCCACCCCGGGCACCAACGCGCGCGCAGGTGGCCGCGCCCGGCCTCTGGCCCTCGCGTGCCGAGCCGCTTGTCCCGCCTCCCCGCGTGGCTGCCACCCGGGCGCCCCTCCTGCCTCAGTCTCCCCAGCGCGCCCCATCCGCCCGCCTGGGCCCCGTGCCGGCGCCGCGGCGAGCGCACCGCTCACTTTTTCCTTTGCGCGGCGGGCATTACTCACCCCTGCTCTCCCGCCCTGAATGACTGCCTGACTGACTAACTGACTGACTGACTGAGCCCACGGCCCTCCTCTGCTCTCACCAGGTCCCCCCAGGAGCCAGAGAGGCTTCTGCTTCAGGGGGCCCCTGGGCCTTGCTTCTCTTGGGAGGGGACACGGTGGCCGGATGCTTCTCCTAGGAGGGAGGGAGGAAGTGGCTGGGAACTCCCACCTCTGAGACGCTCGGCCGGCCCCCAAAGGCAGGATCAGCCCTGGAGGTGGTTTTTGGAGCCAGGGGTGTCTGCTGCAGGGAGGGATGGGCTGCTGCGGGATCCCAGGGGATTGGGTTGGGGGTGCTCCAGGCCATGCCTCACTGACCGCACACCCCACTCACCCCACAGATGTCGCCCTCTGGTCGCCTGTGTCTTCTCACTCTCCTTGGCCTGATTCTGCCCAGCAGAGGTAAGACCCCGTCCCCTGGCCCCAGTGGGTAGCTGAGCTGGGTGGGTGGCGGTAAGTTTGGATGTTCTGGTCTGTTTCCCCGGTGGAGCTGGCACCAGGAAGTGAGGGTCCCTAGGCAGGTTCTGGGTAACACCCACTTTGGACACCTCAGACCTGGGTGGCCGCTTCCAAAGAGTCTGGCCAGAGCCTGTCCTGCTGAGCACCCTCAGCCTCACCTCCAAGAAGAACTGACTCAGTTTGATTTGGCCAGGAGATGGGTGTCAGTTTTCTATGTGGCAGCCAGGAAACCCTCGGCTCCCAGCAAAGCTGGATCTTCTCGCAGAATATGGTTATGCAAAGGGACCAAGCTGGGATGGGAGAAGTGCTTCTCAAAGGTGGCAGCTGTGGGGGGCACGTGCGGTGCCCCTCCCAGGCAAGCACCTGAGCTTAGCTCTACTCTATTACCTGTTGTTGTGCCCATTTTGTGGATGGGGAAACTTAGGCTCAGCCAAGGGAAGTGCCACGTGCCAATGGCAAGTGAGTGGAGAAAGTGGGATTAAAAACATCCTGCCTCCCCCAGAACCCAGGGCAGGTGCCTGTTCCTCTTTGATTTTCATGTGGTTTTCATTCATTGGACAAGAGTCTGTCAATCATTCACTCTATGTTCCACCTTTCTGTGCCCTGAAGGGACAGTGAAGGCAGCAGAGCCCACTCTTGTGGGGCAAAGACAGAACCATCCTGTAAATGATGGAGTGGTCAGAGCCCTGGGGGAAACAGAGGAGGGCAGCCAGGGTGCCCTAAATAAGTGCAGTGGGGGAACTTCACCAAGAAGGTGACTTTTGAGGACACCTGAAGAGGAGGGACTGAGTTGTGTGGTGTCTGGGGATGGGTGTTGTCTGGGAGGCTGGGTTGGCAGGGAGCAGGAGCAGAGTTGGAAGAGGAGAGACCAGAGACAGAGGGGACCACAGAGAGGGGGACTTGTGGACCTGGCGAGAGCCTGGCTTTCACCTGGAGTGCAGTGCAGGCTGTGACCTGGGAGGACCCAGGACCTGTGCACAGGCTCCCTCAGCTGCCTTGGGGACAGACTGTGGAGGCAGAGATGGGAGCAGGAGGCCAGGAGGAGGCTGCTGGGACATCTGGGTGGGAGGGGACAGAGGCTGGGGTAGGGTAAGGACAGTGAATGTGATGTGTCCACGCCATGAAGGGGACCCAGTTACTATCCCCACTTTGCATCCAAGGCAGCTGAGGCTCAGAGAGGAGACTTCGATCGTTTCAGGTCACACGCTGGGAGCAGAATGTGGCACCAGGGCCCTGGCCACTAGACCATCACACAGAATCTCGTGGGGAGAGGGGCCTGGCTTAAAACACTTCTGAGTCACCAGTGGATACAGCCAGAGCTGACCAGTTCCATTAGTAGACAGGAGCTCTAGAGTTGCCCCTTAGTTTGGGCAGGGGGGTGGACTGAAGATGGGAGAAGGGGACCAGGGCTCCTTCCTGACTTCTCATCCTTGATTCTACAGGACAGACATTGGAAGAGACCACATCCAGTTCCACAGTAAACTCAACTACTGTAGACACTCATGTGGCCATGCAAGTTCCAGATGAGGGAAGAGGGACAGGTCTGTCAAGATCCATCTTTACAGATAACAACAGCAACAAACTGAACAGAGATTTATGGATTTGTGTAACTAAAAGTTCAGGAATAGAGCTTCAGGCATGGCTTGATCTAGGTGCTCAAGTGCTGCTGTCAGGGACCTGTCTTTATCTCTTGGCTCTGTTTTCTCTTTGGTGGCGTCCTCTTCAGTCAGTTTCTCTCTCAGGCCCCTATAGGCCTGCTAGGATTCCAAAGGTATTCAGGGAACTCCTGTATCTTCATAGCAGGACTTCTCAGAGCCTTGACAAAGCTGATCTGGGGCAAGCACCCCCAAGCCAGAGCATTTTGGGAACCTCTATTGTCCTGCTCCCTTTACAGTGCTGGCTCTAGGAAGTGGAACTCTGGATGTTTCTTTTGTGAACATCTTCTTACTGATAGGAAAGGAGCCTTTTGGTTGCAAAATACAGGACACCCAACTTAAAAAAATGATTTATTGGTTATGTAAATTCTGTAAAATCAGGAGCTGGCAGCTTCAGGCACAGCTGGATCAAGGAGCTGAATCAAGGAGTCGTCTGAAACACTCCCTCTCTTGGCTCTGTTGTGTTCATTGCCTTTTTCTTTCTTGGTGGCAAAGATGGTGCCATTGTTCAACAGCTAGAGAATGTCCCTTTGCCATTAACTCCAGCCCAAGACCTAGAATTGACTGTCATTGGCCCAGCCAGGGTCTTAACAAGTGAGAGGTTGGAAAATGCACTGCTCTGATTGGTCAGACCTTAGTCTTCTGCCCCACCCTGAAGCTGGAGAAAGGGCTTGGCCCTTTATAAACCATTCAGACCAAGTCAGGGTGGGGTGGTTCCCTGGGGATGAGTAAGTTTATGTCACCAGAAGGTACGAAAAAGGGGCTGAGTGAGATGAAGGCAACAGGTGGCCTCTAATGCCTGTCCGATGACCCCTACTCAGGGGGCCAGGCCTGTAGCTTAGACCAGTCCCAGGCTGACAGGCATGCACGGTTGCCCAGTCTGTGTACTGCAGCACCACCCCCTCAGGCCGTGTTATTCCTTTTGTTGATCGTTACAATTACTCTAGTTTTCCAGGAGTGGAAGGAAAGCATCTTGTTCTCACAGAATCAATGGAAACCGTTTTACAACAGATGGAAATAGTGTCTGGGGAAAGGGAGCGTGTCTGTTCTGCACCAAAGTGCCCCTCTGGAGTGGGGGGTAGTCTCTGTGCCCCATTTCCCATGTACAGTAACAAGTTCACATCTCCAACTTAATTTGCTCTGAGTCTGCTTTCCAGTGAGGCTCTGTGTCCCTGTTATGTGCGACAGAAATCCAACAGGACCTGCGGGTCATAGAGGTGCAGTTCCAGGGCTGGACACGCTGGGCCCAGAGTCCCCAACCTCCTCCCTCTCTGCTTCTCTCTCCTGGGACTCCTCTGTCCCCTGTGAGGCCGTGGCTCCTCTTGTCCCAGCTCCAAGCTCCCTGGCTTCCCCTTGACCTCTTGGTCTGCTCTGATGGCCATACCAAGTACCTCCGGCTGGGGGCTTAGGAACAGGAAGATGTTTCTCAAAGACCGGAAGCGCAAGCTGGGGGGTCAGGGCGGGTGGCTCTCCTTGGGTTGCAGGCGCCCCTCCCGACTGTCCTCGGGGGGTTGGAAGCAAGCAGTTGTCTGGGCTGTTCTTGGAAGGGCATTCATGCCATCATGAAGACCCCACCCATATGACCTCATGGAGCCCAGTTACCTCCCAGTGGCCTCACCCAGTGGGTGCCAGTATGGGGGGACACAATTTAGTCCATGGTACCCAATTTTCTCTCCAAATCCCCACTTGGGGTTTGAAAGGTCGGGGTGACACACTCTCCCTTGTAGCTTGGTTTATATCTGGGGGAGGGGATGGACTGGGAAAGGGGGAGCGATTTCTAGATGGGCAAAGAGCCAAGTAGACTTTGTCAACAACCCTTGAGATGGAGTCCTGTGCCAGGCTGTTTTGAGTCATTCCAGCCTGGGGACCTCCATGGCCGGTGGGAGCTGCTGTTACCTGCATTTTACAGGGAAGGGAACTGAGGCCCAGAGAGGTTACTCAACTTGATTTAGGCCACACAGCCCAAGGTGGCAGCACTGCAACTTGTGTCCAGACCCTCAGCTCCAGGGTGCGTGAAATCCACCCACCTCCACGGTTGTCCTTTGCCTTTTCTGTCATTTTTGTTCCTGCCTCTGGACAAGGCTTTCTTGAACACCTCCCGATTCTTGGGTGTTGGGTCATATGTAAGGGGTGAGGCCCAGGGAGAGGTCTGTGGAACTTGGGTTCACAAAGTAGGTGCTTTGCAGGCGCGGGCCTCTTTCTGAATAAAGGGAACCTGCTGTTGTTTCGGCGTCCACGTGTTTTGCACAAGTATGTCCAGGTGGGGGACTGGGCCTGGGTCCTGGATGTACTAATGGAATATGAATGGGGTGTCAGTGGGGGCTGGGAAGCTGGTCTACACTGGGGTGTGAGCCATGCTTGTGCTGGGGGTGGAGGCGTTGCCTCACCCTGCACCCCAGAAGCACAGGTGTTGGGGAATTTGTTCCTCCCAGCCCCACGCTCACAGCCATGTCCTTATTTCTGCTCCTTGGCCCCCTCCTGCTCTCCCCGACTTCTGGCCACTCTCTCTGCCGTCCCTCTGAAGGCACCACGACGTTCCCTGAGAGACAAACCCCGAGCAAAAACGTCAGGATGGAACCCCAGACCCCAGACCCACCTGGTCAGTATCTCCTTTCCCAGCCTTAAAATGCGTGGTTTTCTACTCGTGGAGCCCCCAGCACAGAGAAGCCCTCAGCACACACGTGCTTCCAGCCTGGTGGAGGGAAGGGACGTGGTGATGTCACCAGCGCGAGGCTGCACACAACTGTGTCAGAACACAGTGGCTAAAAATGGTCTTCAGGGTTTTTTCTGTTTGGTTTGCAGTACTAGAACTTGAACTCAGGGCCTATACCTTGAGCCCCTCCACCAGCCGTTTTCGTAATGGGCTTTTTCGAGATAGTGTCTCGTGAACTATTTGCCTGGGTTGGCCTCGAACTGTGATGCTCCTGATCTCTGCCTCCTGAGTAGCTAGGATTACAGGTGTTAGCCATCAGTGCCCGGCTCCCTAGCCCATTTTTTGCTTTATTTTTCAGGTAGTTTTTGCCCAGCCATGCCTGGCTTGTTTTGTTAAGATGGGAGTCTCACTTTTTACCAGGGCTGGCCTGAAACAGCTATCCTCCTGATGGAGCTCCAACTCCAGAGTCACCGGGGTCACAAGCATGAGTCACCATGCCTGGTCATTGATTTTGAGCTCTCGGTCCTGTGATTTGAAATGCAGGCTGGGCTCTGCTGGGTGGTTCTTCTGGTCTCACTGGCCTTGCTCAGGCACCTGAGATCAGTGGTGGGACAGCAGGAGTTTTGTTCCTAGAGTCACCCTGATTCTTCCCCTAGTGACCTTGTCTTCTCCCTGCCCACTCGGCCCCAATGAATGAACGGAAAGGACATTGCATGTCATCGCCTCCCCCACCAGGAGAGCCCATTCATCATCCATGCCAATTAGTTCCCATAGGTGCCAGGCACCATCCCAGGTGCCAGGCATACAGCCGGGAACAACACAGATGGAATCTCTAGGCCGTACCTTTGTGGAACCAACATTCTAGTGTGGGGGGATACAACAAATGGTAATTGGAGTACTTATGTATGAGGTGGCTTTACCTTGCTGTCAAGGAAAATAAAGCAGGGTCATGGTTAAAGAATGATGGAGGAGTAGCCCATGCAGGACCAGGGAAGGCCTTCCTTAGAAGGAAGTAATGGAGGGAGCCACTGTCTAGGGAAGAGAAGGTGTCTGATGCGTCCAACAGCAGGGAGGCCAATGGTGTGGTGAGTGGGAAAAGTAAGATAAAGTCCAAGAGGTGATGGGAGCCAGACTGAAACCCCATGAAGACTTTGGGTGTGTTCTAAGAGCAGAAAGGCTAAGACCCAGGTGTCCCTGTTCCCAGATTGTCACTCACTTTTTTACTCCACAAACCTCTGCGGAACTCTGATGAGTGCCTTGTTCATCTCCTTAGGTTCCAATGAGGACAACCCCTTCTTCTATGGTAAGGTGCCCATGGGAAGAGGTGGGAGGAAGGGTGAAGGCTGCCTGACCTGACACCTGTATTTCTCTCTACAGACGAGACCACTCTCCGGAGACGGGGGCTGCTGGTGGCGGCTGTGTTGTTCATCACAGGCATTGTCATACTCACAAGTGAGCATGGGATTTGGGTGGGGAGGGAACCAGGACCAGGAGAGAGAGCCCTGGGCTTGCAGAGTGCCTGCAGGCCAGGTTCCTGAAACCCCTGGGCAAGGCTGCTGTAAGCCAGGGGCATCTGTTAGCAGCATGTCCAGTGTTCAGAGGTGCCAGCCAGTGACCACTGTGTTTATTTAGCCTGACCTCTGCTGCTTGGGGGTGTTGACAGGGCTCAGCTAGGCAGTTCTTCTGATGCAGGTGGATTTGCGCATGGGTGCTTCTGGGTACCTTGCTCCTCACCTGATGGTTCTATCCTCCCCAAGTGTAGCCTGGGCTTGTTCATGGATGGTGCCCAGGTAAGAGGGACAGGGACTGAAACAAAGTGTGTAGGCTCAGAAAGGGCCACTAACACTCTATTGAACAAAGTGAGTCACCAGGCTCAGCTTCATTTCAAAGGTTTGAAAACAGACTTCAGTTTTGTTTTGTTTTTTTCTTTTTCTGAGACAAGGTTTTACTTTGCATCCCAGGCTGGCCTTGAACTCACAATCCTTTTGCTTCCACTTCCCTAGTGCTGGTATTACTGGTGTGGACCACCATGCCCGGCTTTGGCTTCATCTCTTGATGGGAGGAGGGGTAAATTCACAGTGCAAGGGTCAAGGGCACTGACAGGGAAGGGAGAGAATCACAGCCATTTTGGTAGTCAACACACCACACCAGGGTCATGAGCTCCCTGTGCCCAGACCTTGCAGGAATGAGGGGTAACCGAGACCGGGGGTGGGGAGGTGAACGAGTGTCAGATGCCCCTCTAGATGGAGCAAGACTAGGGCCTGGCACTGCAGAGTCGAGTCTTCCAAGAGGGTATTGTTCGTGTAAAATCTCTCCTAGGAGACTGCCAAGTGAGTCAAGGTTGTGCAGCTGCAGGGAGACCCTCGGAGGAGTAATGAGAACGTTTAATAGAAGGATAGATGCGTCCGTTCTCTGTTGCCATCACAAAATACCTGAGTCTGGGTACTTATGAAGAGAAGAGGTTTATTTCCCTTTCGGAAGCTGAAAGTCCCAGATGGGTGGACCCACTGGTTTGGCCTCTGTTGAGGGTTGCCTTGGCCATGGTGGAAAGCATCATGGCAGAATGAATTAGGACAGGGCGGGGTGGAGAGAGAAAGAGACGGACAGACAGAGTCAGAGTGACAGGCAGATCACATGACAACACAGGAAGTGAGAGCAGAGAGGGGCCAGTCTTGATCTTTTTTGTAACAACTCACTCTCATGAGAATTAACGCTCTCAGAGAGACCAGCATTAATCCCTTCCCAGGTCAGTGCTCCCACTGGCCTAGTTATCTCCCACCAGGCCCCCCTGTCTACACTGAGGTCCAAACTTCCGTCACATGAACCTTGTAGGGAACACAGTCAAACCATGTTGGAAGCATAGCAAGGGACTTCTGCAAGGGCACGAGCAGGGTGACAGGACAGCAGAGTGGATGGGGATGGATATTTGGCAGCCAAGGAAGGACAAGAGTGAGAGGAGCACCTTCTGAAGAGGTGAAACCAGAACTGATTCCTGATGATGAAGAAAAAAGAAAAAGAATTAAAAAAAGGCAGAGGGAACAGCAAGTGCAGAGGCCCAGGGGTAGGACTGAGCTGAGCCTGTTGGAAGCTGGGACAGAGGAGATCAGGAAGAGTAGGAGAGGAAGCTGGAGAGGCAGCTGGATGGCTCTTGCCCCAAGTTCCCTGTGGCTTCTACTGTTTTCTCCTTTCCCATCCCCCACCTCACTCTGATCCAGGTCTCAGCCTTACTCTGTTTCTTGAGCCCATCTCTGCCCTTCTACCTCAGGCCCTTTACACTAACTGCTTCCTCTGCTTGGAACACCTTATTTTCACAGAACCCCTCCTCACCTCCTTCAGGTCTTGGCTCCAATGTCACCTCTTCCCTGAGGACTCCTCCAGTCATCTCCACGAGGGTATCCCCACTCCCAGGCCTCCTTAACTCTTCCTTATCTTTATTTTTCTTCATAGCACTTTTCATTGCATGTACATTTGACATTTGCTTTTCTTCTTTGGTGTCCCTTCCTAGAAAGGTAAGGCCTTAGGACAGGGATTTTTTTCTTGTTTCCCTCTGTTTTCAATGCCCAAGTTGGTGCCTGGCATATGGAAGGTGCACAATAAATGTGCCCTGACTGAATGAATCAGTAGTACACAAAAGAGCCTGAGATTCCCAGGGCTCGTCCTGGGCACCTGTGGGAACTCCTGCCCCAGGGCCCTTGCACAGCTGCTCTAGTGCAAGTTTCTCAGTCACGTGTTTATGATGTCACCTGGGAGCTTCACAGCCTCAGAGCCTACACAGTAATCAACACTTCCAACTCACGCGGGAACCATTTTCTTCCCTCACAGGTGGCAAGTGTAGGCAGTGGTCCCGATGCTGCTGGAGTCCACGCAGGTGAGTCCATCAGAAGTGCGGGTCAACAACCGAGTGGTCACCCCAAGATCGAGGCCCGCTGACTTACCATCCAACCTCCTCCCTCCCCTCCAAGAGCCTACAGAGTGGTCAACACAAGAAGCCCTGAGCGGGAAGACCCGGGCATGGGGAGCCAGACCTGTGGCTGATGACCTTGTCAGCCTCCCCGAGCTCCAGACAGTGTTCAGCCCCTGGGCATTGGCTCTCGCATTGTCCACCTGCTCAGCCAAAAAAGTAAAGCCCTATGTGGTCCTTCCCCATGGCCTCTGTGCGTCCATGACAGGCAGGAGGACAGGCTGGGCCCCGGGGGAGCCACAGAACCAAATCCAAGGTGAGGGGATGACTGTGGTCAGCTTAAGAGTCACCAAGCAATGCTGCCCTCAGGCAGTGGAAGACCCCTGGCCTGGCCCTGGTGCAGCCTGGCACCAGCCCACAGTGACTCCCTTCCTTCACACCACAAGTCCCTCTGCCCCTCAAGGGGCCTCACACGCGAGAGTGTGGCCACCCAACTGCACGCCCAGGCTCGGTTCACATTCCCTAGCCCATGGCCTGGCCTCTGGATGACCCTCAGCTTAGGGGTGCAGGCTCAGAGCATCGGGGGTGGCACCCAGGGCAGGGTGGTGAGGGCACATAGGCTTGGATGGGCATTTGCTAAAGTTGATCAGGCTCCACAGCCCCGTAGGAGGGCTCACAGGTCAGACCAGGTCCCGTGTCAGTCAAGAGATCTGGCCACAGGGGCCTGCAGGACAATGCAGGAGAACAAAGTTCCTAACTGCCAAATGGGTGGGCATGAGCCACATACGACAATAAAAGATCACTGGGCACCAGTGGCTCACACCTATAATCCCAGCTACTCAGGAGGCAGAGATCAGGAGGATCATGGTTCAAAGCCAGCCCGGGCAAATAGTTCATGAGACCCTATCTCTGAAAAAAAAAACCATCACAGAAAAGGGCTGGTGGAGTGGCTCAAGGTGTAGACCTTGAGTTCAAATCCCAGTACCACAAAAAAAAAAAAAAAGAAAGAAAGAAAGTAAAAGAAAAAGTAAAGAAATAATGAAATGGAAAAGGAAAATGTCAGGACACCTCATAGGATTTGCTATTTTAAATACAGTGTGACACACACACACTGTATCTCGTGAATGTCGTCTGTGTATCCATGTACATACTTTGCTCAACTCTGCACACATGTATGTATGTGTGTGTACATGGGTGTCCCTCCATGGCTGAGGGCTCTACTTCTATGAATTCAACCAACCTGGGTTTGAAAATATTGAAAAAGATTGTGTCTGAACTGAGCATACATAGATTTTTTTCATGCCATTATTCCTTACACAACACAGTCTAACAACTGTTTGCATAGAATTTCCATGGTACCAGGTATTTTAAGCAATCTAGAGATGGTGTAAAGTCTCCAGGAGGGTGTGTGCAGGTTCTACGCAAAGACTGTCATTTTACGTAAGGGTCCTGAGAGTCCACAGATCTTCTGGGGCTCTGGGGATGTTGAGGGGCTCCTGGACCAATGCCCAGTGGATACAAGGCAGGACTGTTTAGGGAGTCTGACTGTTAGGGATACTAACGAGACTTTCTTATTGACACCACCACATATCGATCAGAACAGATGTGCACCCCGTCTATGTACCTACCGGTGCACATAGTATAAGATAGCTATTAAATTGGATCATTTGAAAATGTCATTTTGGGGGAGGGGTTGAGACAGGGTTTCCCTACGTAGCCCAAACTGGCCTGAAATTCATGATCTTCCTTCCTTAGCCTCCCAAGGGCTGGGATTATTGGCATCACACCATCATACCTGGCTTATTCAGATATTTTTGACCTGCAAAAATAAGGCTTTTTAGATTGCTTATTCTTAACAAGACTATTTCCAATTATGAAAAGCCCTGGGGAGAGGGGCGCATAGGTTGTGGTGTGGGGAGAAAGTGCTTCTTGGAATAGGAAATGCTGGCAGCCCCCCTCCCCATGGCCACCCCAGTATGCAGAAGGCATGTCTGGGGCCAAAATTCCCAAACCACTCATCAGGTGCCCTCTCCCCACCCCACCCCCCCCACTTCCACCACCCCCTGGTACCATTAGCCTACTTTTTGTTTTAAAAAGACCAACTCCCTTTTAACTTATAAATTTATTTTAAAAAGCACAATCATGTATGGGAAATCAATAGTTTGATATAAATAGAAGATAGCCATAAAAATGAATGCAATGAAACCAAACGAAGATGGAGTTCTGTTGCAGCCAGGCTCTGAGCCAGGGGCTGGTCTGCTCTGTTGCAGGGGACATTAAGATGAGGGTCATCATCACTCAACCACCGATAGGGACTGCCAAGCTTGGGAGGCCTAACACCACCCTCACTTCTGGCACTGATTGCAAGTTTGAGGGTCCCCAGGATCATCTTTGGTATAATGATTTGGATATGAAGTGTGCCCCCAAAAGGCTTTGTCGCCAGCTGGTGGCACTTTTTCTTTTTACTTTTTTTTTTTTTTTTGCACTACTGAGGTTTGAACTCAGGGCTTCACACTTGCTAGACAGGTGCTCTACTTAAGCCACTCTGCCAGCCCTTTTTTGGTGTTAGGCATTTTCAAGGTTTGCCCAGGCTAGCTCCAAATCATGATCCTCCTGATCTCTGCTCCCTGAGTAGCTAGGATTACAGGCGTGAGCCACCGGTGTCCTGCCCTGGCTGGTGGCACTTTTGAGGGGTGACTGTATCATAAGAGTGCTGATGTCATCACTGGGTTACTCTGTGCGTGATTTGGTAGCCGAATGGACAATGAGGAGGGGATTCTAGTGGGAGAGAGTAGTCACTGGGGATGTCCCTTTGAAGGGTGGATCTTGTCCCTAGAGCCTTCCTGCGGCCAGGAGGTGAGTGGCTTTGCCCTGCCATAGCCTCCCTGTCCTGATGTTCCACCTCACCACAGGCCACAGCCATGAGGCCATGCAACCAACCATGGACCAAAACCTCTGAACCATGCATCAGTCTTTCCTCCTTTAAATTGGTTTTCTCAGGAGCTCAAAAGCATTCATCTGAAGGAAAGAAGCCGTATACCAAAGAGTGCAGACAGTGTACATCCACTTATATGAAGTTACGGGGTCAGCAAAACTGACAGGGCTGGGCATGACGGTGAGCACCTGTGCTCCCAGGTGCTCGGGAGGCTGAGGCAGGAGGGTCATTTGCACCCAGGAACCTGAGATCAGCCCAGCAACGCAGTGAGGTCCTGTCTCGAAAGAAAGAGTCAAAGCTATTGATGGTGACAAAAGTCAGAACAGTTGTTGCCTCCACGGTGGGGGTGGGGTTGATGGCAAAGAGACCTAAGGAACATTCCGGAAAGTTCGATGTGTACTCTGATAATGGTGCGGGTTGCATATCCACATACGGGGGTCAGTTGGATCAAGATGCACATTAAGACCTGTGTAGTTGGTTGTGGGTGAGCCATCTCTCCACGCAGACCACAGCAAACTTGGAAACAAAAGAATTGTCACCCTGGGTGGTGACAATTTCCGATCCCTGGGTCTCAGGCAGGGAGATGGGATCGTGACAGTGATTTGAACCATGGAGCCTCGTCCATGGGCAGGGTGGAGGGAGGGGGTCCCCAAGGGGGCAGTCTGGTCCCACTCAGTGGATCGTGTCCAGTCTTAGCTGAGTGCCCTGCACGAGCCTTTCCTAGGGCTTGTCTGGCTCTTCCTGTATCAGACCTGACCATTTTTGCTTAAGACGGCGACAGGTCACCTCAGATCTCAGCGGCTTTCAGCACAGGTTTGTTTCCCACTTACACTGTGTCTGTCATGGGTCAGCTGGAGCCAAGACAGGACCCAAGCTGATGGGGAACCTCCTGCCAGACACGGTAACCAGAGCTCCAGAACAACGCCCAACTTCTGGGCTTCCACAGGCCAGATCCGGCCACTTGTCCCTATATCCCGAATAAAAAGACGGAGAAGGACAGAGAAAGATTTATTACAGGGCCAGGGACACGCTGTGGACGTGGACATGGGGCAGGGGACAGAAGACAAGCACAGTTAAACAGTCCCAGTCTCAGGTGTGGCCCAGTTGGTCACTCTCTCAGCTCTGGTCCCCTGAGGGTTTTGGAGAAGTTATCGCTCACATCACTTAAGGGGAGCAAACTGGTTCCCAAGAGATGATGACTCCTGCTCCAGGGTGCAGCCTATCATTACAGGTAATCGTCCTCATTTGTGGGGTGGCAGTGCTGCCAGGCTCTGCTGATCCTTGTCATGCAGATGTTATCAAGCATTCCTTGATTTCAAGGTGGCTGTAGAACGGAAGGACTCAGAGCAAAGAAGGAGATGCAAGGTGGAGGCAGGGATGCCAAGCTTTACCGGGTTTTTAGTTAACCTGTGAGCCCAAGTGAGGTGTCAGTGCTTTCCAGCTAGAGCAGTTTCTAAGGACCTGTTATGAAACATTCCTGAAGGAAGGAAGACGAGAAAGAGGAGACACGTGCAAGCTGCTCCAGCCTCTGCCAGGAAGGGACACACCATTTCTTTTCACCTTTTCATCCACCAAAGCCTGAGCTCAGCAGGGCAGGAAACTCCAGTCCTCTTGTACGGAGGGAACTGGCTAGAACAACAGCACAAGCTTACTGAGAGATTTTTCTTGTCTCACTTGTCAAGAAGCCTGGAGGCAGAGGCTGTATTTAGCTGCAGGAGATAAAAGCTAAGCCAGAAACAGCGACTTAAAGAGGCCATTTATTTCTCTCTCATGTCACAGAAATTAGGATATGGAGGCCAAGGCTGAGAATGGACTTCTTAATATCACAAGGACCCAAGCTTTCCCATGTTTTCTTTTCAGACAAACACATTACTTTTCTGCAAGTCAACTCCCGTGAGCTGAGAGAGGAGGCATTGCAGAGGCTTCTCTTTGGAATTTAGGATACCTTGTGAAAGGAATGGGTTGTTAAAATATTAGCCAAAGGGTTAGGGAAGAAGGCAAAAGCAACAGTTTCTACCTGTTCTGTTACAGATCACAAAATGGCTGCAGGAGCCTCAGTCATCATGCCACATTCCAGGAAAATAAAAGAAGGGGGGGAAATGTAGGGAAGGAAAGGTAGTGATATGAGATTCAGCTCCTCTTAAAGAGTTTCAAGATCTCCTCCCAAAACTTCTGCATATTTCTGATTGACCAGTTCTATTTGCAAAGGAAACCAAGAAATACAGTCTTTTGGCTGAATCCACAACACCTGAATTCCATTAGGGTGGAACGGCCTCCAAGAGTTTATGATACTCCCAAGTCAGGAG